TTTCAGTTGTGGCACCCCGGTTTTTGAATGAGCATGCTCCTGGCACTTACTTTGTATTAGTTTCAGCACCAAGTGAAGAACTTTTTATTTTCTCAGTATTTTAATAGTTTGACTTTTAAATTTATATATATATATCAATTTTATTCTGTACCACTGCTATACTTCAGTGCTGAATTATAGCAATTACTATGGCTATTATGGCTTGTTCTTTTAAATTAAATTGTGTATGCTTTTAACTTCCGTTTAATTCTATCTTTTGTTAACTGCCCAGAGAGCCTCAGCTATTGGGTGGGTATAAAAATGAAATGAACAAACCAAGTATTCTGTAGGATTGCTGGCGACTGTGGCACTGATGCTAGCCAGCATCCCTGCCAAAGCCTTGTTTGCTTTCTGAATGCAGCTGGTATTGACTGAAGCAGTTACCTACGTGCTTTCCACTCTGAGCAGGGCCCATGCAGTTCCTTGGAATACTCCTGAGAACCAAAACAGACACTAGTGTAAAGGTGTTTCTCCCATTGTGTCTTTAGCATCCTCCATTTTTCTTCTAGAGCATGTGCAAGAACCCTGAAGTGGACTGAGAATTACCTGGACAGGGAGATTTTACATTCAGATAGCTGCTAGATAGTTTTAGAAGACTTGTTTTGGCCCTACCCCGAGGACAAGGAAGAGAGAATACATGTAGGAAACCCTTACAGCAAGTCCAGTCAAGCACAAGTAAGAATTCTTTATCAAGCCTAGTCCGTGATGACAGCAAAGATGCAATTTCCCCCCACCACTCTTGTGTCTTCTCAGTGCCATGCAGTAGAGCTTTTCTGAATGATTCATAACCCTTTGCAATCTGGTGCAAGGAGGAGATACAGTGGAATCCTTGATAGCATGTCATTGCATGTTGGTAACATACCTGAATGATAATATTGTCCACATCCACCAAAATGTGGGTTCTATAGGTATTGTAGCTCAGTCAGTAGAAGTGTGGAGAACTCTGCCTAATGAGTTTTTGTGTTGTAACCTGAAAATGTGGGCAAATCTACCTGACCACCTGTGTGTGTGCAGACTTTGGCCTTCTTGGCTTACTACATCTTGCAAGGAGAGGTTGTACATCTGGGTCAAGTCAGTAGTAAATGTCTCTCTGAAAGATGGAATGGAAAAGTTTCTTCAAAATAAGTTGTGTTATGGCCAGTTCTGGAGAAGCCTAAGCTGGATTTAGAAGAATTTGTTATCTGGATAGTTGCCAGCCAACTCCAGGCTATCGTGGATGGTTTTCATGATCTGTTTTAATCACTTTTCAGTCCTGGCTTTGCAACTATGGCATGAGAGAAAGATAGAGGCAGTGTGCCTTGGTGATTTCCCTGAACTCACAGTGACTTTGAATGCCATCAAACATGGTATCCTCCTGGATAGAGTGCCCAAGCTGTTTGTTGAAGGCAGTGTTTCCCAGTGGCTTGACTCCTACCTGATTGCTGATTTTAAGAGGGGATTCCGGGCATGGCTTCATGGTCTTGTGGGGTTTTCTCCTTTGTCCATGCTTCTTTTCATCTACATGAGACCTCTGAGTAAGGGCATCCTGAGATCTGAACTGAGATGCCACCAATATGTGGAAGACATCCACCTCTGCATCTCTTCATCAGTCAGGTGAGGTGTTAACTGTGGCAAAGAAATAAAAGTGAAGTGACGTTCAATCTAGAACTGCCACTGGTGGCATGAATGACTTCTGTGGCTCAGAGCACCCTCTATCAGCTTAAATTGATACACTAACTATGATCCTTCCTGCACCAGCTTGCAATCCATTTCGAGTCCCAGTTCATAGTGCTGCTGTGGCTTCTTCAAATCCTTAATGGCTTGCGACTAGATTACCTAAAGGATCACCTCCTGTCACAGGTGTCTGTCCAGATCACTTTCAGAGACCCTTATCCAGATAACCCTGCCATCAGGTGTTATCAGAGACATGATCTTTCCAATGGTAGCCCCCCCGGGCTATGGGACATTTTTTTCCTTGAAAAAAATCATCTGGCACCTTGTGAAGACCTTTTTATTTTTACAGGTTTTCAAACCAATTGACTTTTATTCCATGTTAATTGGCTGCTCCTCAAGAACCTTGCTTGCTGAATTTATTCTCTGCTTGAGTTTTTTGTGCTGCTTTAAATTATTTTTCTTATGGCTGTAGTTATCTTTCAACATTTCTTCCATTATTTTGAGTTGACCAGAGACCCTTGTTATGGAGTTACATATCACTATTGTAAGGTATAATAGGTAAAAATAAATGAAACTGAAAAGAAATTGTCCCCTTCAGCAACACTTTATCCAGAGGAAGAAGCTTTGTTCCATGTCAATAGAAACTTCCATTCTAGTGCCGACAGAAATTTTTGTGGGTCAGTTTTCATAAGAGTCTGACTTGGCAGAGAGGGTACAGCAGCTATTCTCAGCAGCCTCAGTCCACACAAAGACAAACACAGACCTGCTACGTATAGCCTGTTCCTTCAATTTAAAAAAAAAATACATGGCTACTAAAAAATTGGCTGCCTTCAGTGCAGTATGGCTTTCTAGGGCGTAGATTTGGGCTGTGCCTTTGTTGGAGGATACACTTCAGTTTTTCCTACACCACTTCCAAAAAGGATTTCTAGAAAAGGGAAATGATCTGTTCAGCTAATGTTGCTCTTGCCATTTTCACTTCAGATTCAATCCTCTTAGCATGGGTTTATCTAACATTCTTTATATATCTAAAAAAAAAAGCTCCATATGCTGAAAAAGAAGCTAAATATGTTCCGAAACATACTAGCAGCAATCCTCAAATGCTATTGGGACTACAGTAGTGAGGTGATTTTTCTCTTTATGGCCTGTTAACAGTGCTATTCCAGTTCTATATTAGTCTGTCTCCCAAGTTATTATTAAAAGTTTGCTCATTAAAAGTTGTCCTTTTCGTTTAAACTGTCACATAACAAATTTTTTGCAAAAGTTTCTTGTAATATGCAAGTTCCTGGATATAATTTCTGTTGCATTCAGACATGACTAATAAGCAGAAACGAGGATGGGGACCCTTTTATATTTTTTGAGGGAGGCAAAATGTCTTTCTGTTTTCCTCTTCTGCAAGAACTAAAGGACTCAGAGTAACACTTCCACTGTCCATCCCTACAAGTTTTGGTCAGGACAGGAAACATTAACAAAACCAGAAGTGTGTAGCTCCTTATCTGCTCTGCTTCTCCACCTGTATTCCCCACAAACATGCAAGTGCACTTTATGCTTTTATGATTAAAATCTATCAACCAAATCCATGAAGTCTGAGCAAACATTTTCTCTGTCCATTAGAAGCAGATTGATGCTGGACCTTAGCTAAAGAATAACCTATCATGGAAAATTGGTATAACCTATAGAATACATTTGTGTACACTGTCTCAGCCCTGTAAGGTAGGCCAGTATTAACATCAATGTATTGTGATTAAAGAGATCAGACAAAGAAAAGAGAAGAGAAGAACTTGGTAGGACCATCACTAGATTCCAATGGGTGAAATAAGATCTAAACCAGGAATGTCTTCTTTTAATACTTCCAGCCTCAAACCAAAACAGGAAAGCAAATTGCACTCAGGTTCTAAAACCCCTTTGAGGAAACCAGTCCAAAACTGTAATGTTCCTGGGACAGATGTAATAACAAATTTTGAGATGACATTAATTGTGAATGTAGGAAATACATTTAATTGTCATAGTGGTGTTATTTTTTAAGGCATTTGATAATGAATGCAGTCAAATCAAGACCAGAAAGATCTCAAGTCAAGACCTGATCTTTATTGTTGATGCTTTGCCCTGCTTTTGTTTCTATAATAAATGTGTTCAGTTTGGAAAGAAACAAGTCTTGATCAGTTTTATATTGAATGAAGTATTTTCTGTTTGGAGCAAATGCTCTAGCTAGACCACCGATATGCACCAATCTGTATCTAGATCTCCAGTAGGTATGAATTTTAGATTCATTTCAGTGGAAGATACAGTCCCATGGTAAGAAGGGCATGTACCCAAACAGGTGCCCATTCTTTTCCGTTCTCAAAATTTTGGCTCCAAGAGCTGTATGTGCTCATAGAAGCCTGAGGATCACAGGAGATGCAGAACAGGACAAACTACTTACTACAGAGTCCTATGCATGTTTGTTCAGAACTCTAAGTTTCATTAAATTGACTCCCAAGTAAGTAGGTTTAGGTCTGTAGCCTCAGCAAGCAATGTTTCAATGTACTCACAGATCCTAGCTCTGATCTATTATATTATCTCACTGGACACAATTCACAATGGAAAGACCATGTAACAACATTCTGACAGCCACTTCTCCTCCGTGGATTGAATTAGAAAAGATATGCAGACATGTCTGTATTTTAGTAAGCAATGTTCAGCCTGCAACAGAGCAGTGAATGTGTCCTCTGATATTTTTCTAAATTTTTCTTATTTTACAGTGTATCCCTTTGCATTTTTACACGCAAGTAAGCCTCACTGTGTTTGCTGGCCCAAGCAGATGCCTATACGACTGTATCCTTTATTGCCCCTGTTGTTCAGCACCATATAGACAGATGAACACTGATTTCTAAGTCCTAAAGAATGAGCAGAGTCCATTTTTCTCCATAATAACCTTCAGAATAATTGCAGCTATAATAATAATTCATTTTCCAATCTGGAAGAGAATATTTAAAATGAATATATCAGATCCTTTCGCAAGCTGGACATGGATGTTTCTATTGTCAAGTTAGTATTTTTATGACACATGCCGAGAACATGCATGTCATCACAACATTCCACTATATACACTTAACTGACATGTCGCAGAATGCATGCTTGCATGATGATTTCCTGTGTGCAGTTCTTACACAGGATTCATACTTTTCCCTGGAGGGAAGTAGTTTCGCTGAAGTACAGTTTTAATATACAGAGTTCTCTTGCCTTTGGCTTGCTGTGACACCATTTGAAAACCTTGATTAAGTCGGATTTTTTTGAAAGCTATATAGTTTATTTTTCTCTGTGTCTTACAGCTGAAACTATAGAAGAAAAGTCAACAGATTCCTTACAAGATTTGTACCGGTCTTTGGAACTAGCTAGTTTGTCCCCTTTAGGAGACCTGCAGATTTCAACCAAGATGGAATACAAGAAGTCTTTCATTAAAAGATGCAGTGATCCAGTAGTCAATGAAAAATTGCACCAACTACGAATTCTGAAAAGCACTTTAAAGGTAAGTTAATGAGTAGTAGGCAAAGCTTGCCCAAGTGTTTGAACTATCAAGGGATTTATTGTCTATAGACAGAAAGATGCTAGAAAAAGAAATATTTAAAAATGATGAAAAGAAATGGAGAGTGGATTTATTTTTCTTGTTCTTATTCTGTGAACAGTTAATCTGCTGTATGCCCATCTGACTATAAATGAGGACATGCTCCATAAGACTGACAATGTTCAAACCTTCTCAGATGCTTTGTGTATTACCAAACTTGAAATTACTTTGCCTGGCTTTGCAGTATGGAGGGCAGTATTCATTCTGCACGGTTTTCTTTAAAAATTTTCATCAAGTAATTTAAAACAAATGTTTAGGGTTGCAGAATGCTGAGCATCGTAGGACTTATTCTTTCTAAATTTACATAGGTCTGTCCCTGAATGACAAATCCCAGATGGTTTTAGACAAGCGACTGGAAAATTACCACTAGTCAAACTAGGGATTTTTTCAGAAGTATCACAGTATCTCGATTATCATGATTCATGATCCATGATCTACCAAACAGATAATCAGATGGTTTCTACTTTATCAAGAGGACTCTTGATGTCCTCTCAAATATCCCATCAGCCACTGTGCTTGAAATTCATTCCCAAAATGTATCACTCCCTGCCTTTGTTGCCTGTTTCTCCTTCATTGATCTATACAGAAAGCTTGGATGGCTGGAACAGCTACTGAAGTTGCTGCTTCTTCCCAGGACTCTGGTAGTTGCATGACCCTGAATTCAGACAACACAATAAACCCTGGTGGGACACAGAGGCCATTGTTTCTTATAGCGGTGCCTAAAGACCAAACTCACCATGGTGAAATACCATGACTGGGTTCAGACAACACAACAGACCACCATGGCCTGTCACGTTGTCTGAACCCAACCATGGGATGCTGGGGTCACAAGGTTCCCCAAGTTTTGAGATGCTACTCCTTTGTAATCATTTTTTTCTTTTTGTTTTTCTCAGGCCAGAGAAGAAGAAGTAGCCATCATAGATAAAGTTCTGGATAATCCAGACTTGACATCTAAAGACTTCCAAGACTGGAAACAAATGTACCTTGAGCTCTTCCTGGATAGTTCTCAGAACAACTCTGTAGAAGACCCTGTAAATGACTCTGATGAAGTTGATGCACTTCTAGACTCTTTAGCACATACCCATTCCTATATTGAAACACATGTATAAAAAAGGAAGAAAAGCTTCTGGATTTTGTTTTTGTCCTGTTACGGCACTCCAGACCTTTATTCAAGCGCACAGAGTAGCTTTTATATCCACTTACAGGAGATCTATTTTAATGTTTCTGATATGAGTAAAGTACAATTTCCATGTCATTGTTTGAATAGATACTTACATACTTTTTACGCTGCTGATGCTCATGTTTATGTTTACAAACATTGGCTATGATCCAAAGAAGGGATACATTTTAATGGGACATTTTGTTTGAAGCTGGTGCTGCCACAACTTTCAACTGCTGAAGAAATTTCTTTTTAAACTGAAGAGGAACATCCATGTTGCTTCTTTGGATCGTGACCACTGTCTTGGAAAATTTAAAGAAATAATAAGTATATATTTTGGGGGATTATATTGATTTATCAAGGGGAAAGTTGTCATAAGAGCAGTGTTTTACTACTAAAGGTTAAGCTATTTCCTATTTTAATAGTATATAACTGTTGTAACGAGTTACATTTTCAAAGTGCAGCTTTTGTTTTGGCCAGTGTGAAAGTTAAATTTTTATATTTGGTGGAATATTTTGGGTATTTTCATAAATTGCAGAAAAAGTATAATGCTGTGATTAGAATTGCATTTTCAAGAATAGAGTCAGGGAATTAGAAAAGATTGGACTTCTGTCCACTTGGGTATAGAAAGGTTGGGGCTTTGTTTTTCCAGTCTTCTGAAATGTAATTAATAGACAATCTCTAGCACAGAAGTAATAGGAGGATAAAGGGCTCTTTTTGTTTTGGCTTTGGAATAGATCTTTAAAGATGTGTGGTTGAACTGTATTACTACCCCCTGGGCTGGCCTCATCTTATTTTGTGCAGATTTTTTTTACTGTTAACCAAAGGGTCATAGCCAATAATTTTTTAAAAAATGACATTTTAAATGTTTGGAATATATCCGCTCAAAAAAGTTCATGTTTTCAACTCCACAAACAATCTAAACACTCTGACAAATAGGAAGGGAATGGGGATAAGGCAAATCTGTTTATTAATTTACTCAAGATTCCATTTTGTGTGTGGAGAAAAACAGTCAGTAAAGTGCACAATACAACAATCTCACAAGGCACACACCCCGTGAATGTTCTGGACATTTTAATCAAGTTTCCAAGGAATTACTTTAAATACTTTCAATTGCAAATAGCTTCTTTGAGCAGCACGAAGGGTCAAAAGGACTCTCACACATCAAAATCAGATCCAGACTAACCTATAACAAATAACTTTTTTTGTGAAGCTGATGAGCATGTTAACCCAAGTAGCAAGATCTAACCAGCACTGCTCAACACTATTTTTTCATGTATGCCTAAGAGTGTTTCCCACTGCGTTTCCAAATGGGTGTATTCTCATTCATTCTTCCCGATGTTATATTCCTTTCCCCATCCTGCTGCTATTTCTCAAGTGCTGATGTGAAGTTACCAAGTTCTGTGAGTTTCCAATGCGATTGCAGCACAGATCGTTCAGGTATGGACTGACAGAGTACAAGCCACATCTGAAAGTGTGGGTTGCAATATACTTAATCACAGTGTGTATTCCCGTCTCTCCTCATTCTCTGGCCATCTTTCCCATTATGTCTTCTGAACAGTCATCCTTTGCTTCTGGAACTGAAATTATAGTAAGTTCAGTTCATTTCAAGGAAGGATGACAGAGGTGAAATTGTTACAGAAGTGATCCCTTGTCCCTAATTTAAACCTATGGAATCTATAGCCGGGGTGCAAAAATAAAGGGGGAAAGTATGATCCATGTCAGTCTTGTATCAGTATCTCTACATTATAGTACGATGCACTGACATGCTTTAGGGAGAGGGTGGGAATATAACATTAGCACAACTTTCTCCCCGTTAACTTCTGCTGCTGTTTCAGGGGCAAGCTGAGATGAAATTGAGAAGCTCTGACTCATTTTGCCGCCTCCTTCCACAGAGCAACAGCAAGCATGAGCTGATGGCTCCCATGTGAGGATAGGGTGGACAGGTGGATGTCCTCCCCATAGCAGCTGGGCTGAAGATCAAAGCCATCTCCATGGTAGCAAGGAAGGGCATGAGGATGCTAGCAGGTGAAGCATGGTAATGGGGAAAGGAAGGCTGCCATTTGCCCCGCATATCTTAACCCTTGAAAAGAAGGTGATCCAAAGCTTGAGAATACTGTGTTGTCCAAGCAGCCTTTAGTCAGAATTGCCCTGGTGTAAGCATAGCAAAAAATAAAAATAAAAAAATCAGGTTGTTTTCTGATAGAATTCAAAGTCATCAAGTTCAGTCCAGATGCTTGCAAAGGAATCTACTGCCACGATACGACATCACATTTTAGGAGACTGGCTGCATTTATTTAAGGATGTGCATGCCACAGATTTAGCCCTGAGAATTAGTCCCATTTAATATGGCCATTCTCCCAACAAGTGGGAGTACTGCAGAGGTAGACATATGTGTGGTGAACCTCATCTGTTCCTGGTTTAGGATGTAAGAGGCAAATTCTAAATCACTTATTTTCGCCCTTCATCACCACCTTGATTTTTGTCATGACTTAGCATGACAAAAACGATCACATGTCTTCTGAATGCTTTTCTTCACATGTGAGGAGTTGAGATATGAACTGATAAATACTGACACAAAGAGGGTAAGTCTTTTAAAATGATTCTTTCTAAGAGGTTGTATTCTCTCAGCTAGCTTCCAGCTATAGCCTGTTTAGCTCAGTGAATGTACTTTTAAACTTTGAGAGCACTGATATTTTTCTGCTCTCCAGACTAAAATAAGGATCAAAGGATTATTTCTTTATAACTGCATTTTGGATTGCAAGCATCTTGCAGACTTTGCACAACTGTACAGGAGAGTGGCCTTTTTGCAGCTAATTTTCCGTAAGTCTGTATTCAGTTGAGCCTGAATGGACAAATCGTGCATTAAGATTTGTATAGAATTCCAGGTCTAGTACAATGTTTATATCATCTACAGAAAATTTGTTTGTATAAAAAAAAAAACTTGACTGCATGACTTGTTTGTTATCATTTGTGCAATTTTGTATATTTCTCACATAAAAATGCTTGACCTGAAATGAATCTTGATATTTGGTCTAAACCTTGGTTTTAGACTCTTGTTGGGCCTCTTTCTCTCCCCACCCTTCCATTTGATAAATAGATAATGCAAATGAATTAGAAAATTTCAGAAATACCTTCAAAACTGAGCTTCACAAGGAAGGATTGCTTAAGAGTCCTACAAGAATCTTCCTGTTACATTTACAAATTCTTTAATTTAAATGGATATTGTTCCATAACCTCCCTAATGATTAGGAAGTTCAAAATAACATGCAGACAAATGCAGACGCCTGCAGACTGCTATTTCTCCGGATAGAAAGGGAAGATGGGGTAGGTCGCATGGGCTGAGCAATGCTATGAATTCCATTGCATTCCATCCATATACTTCAATTCACATAAAGTCCTTGCGGGGTGAATAAAAGCAGATTTGCACTTTTACCAATTGCTCACATGCCTATTTATGTCAGTTCACACGTGCCAAGAACCTGAGATGATTCAAGGCTTTCCACGGCATCTACATATGCATGAAAGTGTGACCAACCACAGGTTCACACACCTATGCATTGGCTAAAATTTACCCACATACATTTTTTACTGTTTTATTACTTCTGACCCTGCAACACAGTCCCAAACGACTCAACAGTTGGCTGACAGATAAAAAAATACAATAATGCCATAAAACCACAGTATAATTCTTATCATGATCAACAGCAAATACATTGTTCAAGATCCTAAACAATAAAGCAGAAAACCCCACATATCAGCAACAGATAGAACAAGCTTAGAAACTCCTTTATTTTTTTAAAATTACTTATTTATTCAAGATAAAATAAGTTATTCTTGTTTCTTATTATGCCAAAGTATTTTCTGTGTAGGAGAATGATAGCAACGGGCCTGGTACTTGTGCGAGTAACTTGTGACTATGTGGGGAATTGTACAGGAATTTGGAATGAGCATATACTGCATCTTCCTAGCAGGCTGTACCACAATGGACAGAGCAAGGTCTTGCCGACATATTTTCAGGACTTGGCCATCACGATGGTGACCTGTTGCTATGTTATTCTGCCTACAGATTATCTTGGTGAAGGCAGCATTATAACATACAGTCTTCCTCTTGCAAGATGGTTTAGCTTGAAATGATGCCAATGTAGCCTAGAGAGCTTTCTCATGTCTGTTGGATAGGACATTTCATACTAATAATCATGTAAAATGAGTTTCACAGTAATTTCAAAATATAAATTATTTTTGTAATTATAAATTAAATTAAATATACATTAAAGTATCACGCTTGCAAACCTTATTGGTCAATCAGTGTAGCTTAAAACTATACAGTTTATAATTGTCTTACTATGGCAATAAGGTCAAAAGAGCCAAAAGAACAAGTTGTCCCCCTCGTTGAAAGATGTGTGATTCAGATATGCATAGGCAGCTTTTATTAGTGTCTTGGGGGAAAAAATCCCTCTAGCTTGATCCAGAAGGGCAGATAATGCAGAATATTATTTCTTGAATAGCTTGGGACACCACTGCTGCACGGTCTACTCAATCTTATAATAATTTCACATACTGATAAGTTTTTGGCTTTAATTTAGCAGTTAATGTTAGTGTAATTTTTCATTGAGGTGCGCTGCTCCAATAATTTCGCTCCAATAATTTCACCAAAATAACAGCAGGGAGCAAAGCTCTGGGGATTGAAAACTCTCACTTATCTTTTTGGCATGCGGTGTCCAGTTTGGATATTCAGCACCACTTTTAACTAACCAATTGGTGCTGCCCTGAGATGATGCATGTCAACGAAGGCATCACGCAGGCGATGCCCTTGTGTAATGCTGTTACAGTCAATCAGATTAGACTGTGTGGCAATATCATGGAACCAAAGGCCTTTGTGCTAAATAGACTTCCTGATAACAAGATAAAGCAATTAGCTTTGTCTATATAATGTCATGAAGTCAAATCAGAGGGAGAAAATGACTACTTGTCATTTTTCCTTGTTTAACAGCCTGCTTGCTTCCCAAACTGTCAAAAGGTGCATTCTTAGGGGGTAAAGCCTTTAATGACATCTTCATCTTTCTTCCATTCCCATTTTAAATTAGCCCTATAATATACAAACCTTTAAAAATGCATTTTAATGATGGGCCAAGAGCTAATACACAGGAATAAGTTTTCCTTTCATCTTAATTCTTGAATCAAGAATATTTAAAAGTTGGATTACCAGAATTCTCTTTTATGCCACCTGTTCTCTAATCAAGCATCCATTCCCAATTTATCAGTGAAGACAAATTATCTGCACATGTACTAATTTACAACTTTTAATGGCAACACAGTTTTGATCTGTGACCCAAGCAACTTTGAGTGTGCTTTGAAATATCATAAAGTTCAAGCACATTTGCTGTTTTACAACATTACCTCTTAAAAATAAAATTAAGTTTTTAATCTATAGAAATCCTGAAGATGTTGTGCCCTTTGAATTATCCTTTTGGATCAAGTTTCAATGAGATGTGACCTCGGCAGTTGGTTTCTTCTGCTGCTGAATGTCTTTAGCATCCTCTGATTCAGAAAGCTGTAGCACTGCACACTGTAATCCATACCAAGGTAACAAGGCCTTGCAGATGTCTTCCCAACAGTCATTGTCTATATCATAGCCCACCACATCTTGAGTTGGAATCTCCTGGGAGTCTTGCCATTTCTTCCCCCCAATGAGAAGGGCAGTTTCCTCCACTATCGCTAAACCATAACTAAATCGATCATAAATCAGTGGTCTTAGTCGAGTCCATTGATTCTGGTCAGGATTGTATTTTTCAATTTCAGAGAATGGTTCATAAAGCCCCAGAAAAGTATAGACGGTATCTCTGATTGTGGCCATCTGATGCCCAAAGCGAGCAACGCTCATTGAGGCTTGCTTTTCCCATCCTCCTCCTAGTGTACTCAAGGAATACAAATCCTTACTTGTGTTACTTTGATCTGCATACTTGCCGCCTGATATATAAATGATGTCCTTGCAAACAGTGCAAGCATGACCGTGCATTTTGTGTGGCAAATCTCGAACTTTTGTCCATGTGTCTCTACCAACATTGTAGACTTCAACAGATGAATGCATTGATCCACCATCACCTTTCCCACCAATTGCAACGATCTTGTTATCAAAGATGCAACAAGAAAATTGGCATCTTTTTTCCAACATTCCTGAAGTTTGTATCCAATTGTTAAACCTGGGATCATAGCGACGGACTTTGTTTGTAACTGTTGACGTGGGGCTTTTAGGATCACATTGCAAATCTTCTATTTCTCCACCTAGTACATACAGAAAGTTTCCAATAGTGCACACACAGTGATTTTGGACTCTGTCCTGCGCCTGAGTTAAAATTTGCCATTTGTGATTGTAAACGTCAAAAGCCACCACATCTTTGGAAGGTCCTTCATTTGCAATCATTCCTCCAAGCAGTATAATCCGTGTCTTCTGGTTTCGCAAAGTGCTGTACTTATCCTGCAGGATAGGCTGTTTAAAGATAACTGAATGATAGTTTATTGCTTTAATAATTAAACATTTGATGGGAGCTGTTAGAGGCACTTCTGACTGAGTATAGATTTTTCTTAGCTCTTCCACTGGAATCAGACCATATCTTACATGTTCCAGGAGGTTAGTTGTATGTGCTAATCTCCGTGCATCATGTTTCAGCCACTTCAGTAACAAATCTAGCAAATGAGATTCTTTTACCATGGAAACATCAGGAGATTCTGCTACTGCCTTCAGTGACTGAAAGTTCAGTTCCAGAAGTCCTGCAAAATCCAGGTCCAAGAGCTTCCACAGGTTGACAATAAGAAACTTTTGTGCCGCTGATAAAGCATCTGGAAGATAGAATTTTGTGGCAACATTGGCAGAAAAGCAGCAGTTCTCCAGAGTAAGATTGGTAGAAAGATATTGGCTGCACAAGCCAATTGCTTCAGTTACCTGCAAGTAAGTAGCAGCTTCCAAAGTATCTTCCAAACTGGCAAATGACAAAGGCAACCAGGAGGTATAAATGAAATCCAGCACATGTTGCAAACCAGTGGCTGAGATGACGTGCAGGTGAATGATGGCTGCCTTGGATTCTTTGGTATAACTCTTGAACATGGCCCTGAAATAGTCACTAGAACAGGCCAACAGAGACTTGTGAGCAGGAAACTCATTTTCTTTCACCTTCAGCAAAATGTCGCATAGCAAGCCTTCAGCTCGGAGGGTTTGGTACTGAGACAGCACAGTTTTACAGTGGCCTTTGCAGTAAGACAGGAAGTAAGCCATTGGGCAGAACAAAGTGCTCTAAACTTCTTGCTGCCGGGAAAAAAAGAAGAGAAGACGCTGCAGCAGTGTGTTACGTCAACTATGCAAGTAAATCTTGGAATCTTGGAGCTCAAAGAGTCCACTTAATAATGTCATATCTGACTTCAGTTGAGTATTCTCCTAGTACATTATCTCATCTATTCATTCATAAAGCTGATTCTAGTAACATCCTTCAGACACCCATTTCTTTCACCTCCATTTCCTGCTTAAAGCTAGATTGTCTACAGGAGAAGAGAGCACTTGCCTGTCCAGTATCAGGTGACAGTTACAGGAACCAGATGTCATTAAGTGATGCTTTGTCAGCTCAGATATCTCTTGTGGCTTTTCCTTCTCTTCAAGGTGGTCAAATAGACCTCCTGTGGCTGCCGGTGAGGAAGGAAGGGAGTTGAACTTTGCCGCAACTTTTGTCCAAGCTCTGTCTTTCACCCTTAGATAAGTTTAGCTCTTGTTCCCCCAGGGCCAACAAACCACGTATGGTGATCTCTGCTTGTAGGAAGTCTGGGCTGAAAATCCAATCAGCACCTGCAGAGAGGACTTTGTGAACATGCAGACCTTTAGCTGGAGTGGAGAAAGGCAAGCAAAACACTAGGATTAGTCAGAGGTTTAATTTGACATGGATTTTTGGAGCCCTTCGCTTGATATGATATCACCATAACTCACAGTGACCAGAATAGAATGCAAACACAAGCCCCTTGTCATGGTCGTCCAAGTAATGGGAGAAAGGAGCGGGGTGGGTGAGAGCGTGGGTAATCATCTTACAAGGACTGCGGGCCAGAGAATCTGACATTGAGTGACCTGGGTGCTATCATGTGGGCAACACATTTCTCCAGAGCAATGACAAAAATAGCACTGAAGTTATGTCATATAAAGCAGGATCGGTTTGTTGTGGGATCTTGGCATAACTGAGTTCCAACATAGTAACATGCGAGCCTGAGCTTCTTTAGGCAGTCCATCATAGTGTGAAGTTCAAATGGAAAAACAAATGTAGCCCAATTGAATACAAGTAGGCAGTGATTATGGGCAATTATCACCTGGATCTTGGAACATCCAATTCTCTGACAGGCTAAAAGCTGCCAGACGCACATTCTTATCCTAGTAGCTGACTTGCTTCTGAGCACCATCGGTTGTTCCTGTTTCAGAGCACTCATTTTAAGTCAAAACTGCAGGTGCATGATTAAGAAGGCTAACACAGTCTTGTGGCCTCATTCTTTGCAGGCAAAGGCCCTTGGAGAGAAAATGCTACTCTGCTTTTCTGGTAAGTTTCCATTTTCGCTATTGCAACGGGTAGAGGCTCATCATAACCGATCACAGCATATGCTTCAAGCAGGTAATTTGCAAAGTAACACAGTGCCTGGGAGGATCCATTTCATTTCTATGCATTTCAAATGTTTCTAATCAGTAAGATACTTGTTATGTATCAAAATATATATATCCCTTTTCTGAGGTGCCATGTTTCCTGCCACACTATTGTATTAGTACTAGCCACATCATGACAAAGAATGCAATTAAAGGGGCTGCAGCATCTTGTCTGTTAGATCTTCATCATGGTCATATGAATCAGCTGTTGTTGGATTGTACCATTTTTGATAGTAGGTGAAGGATTGCATGTTTAATGTTTCTTTCACATAAGAACTGCCTGTGTGTGCAACATTTGTTTGTCCAAGGAACACATTCTAGTGATACACTATTTTTCTATGTATTGGGAGTGTGTGTGTAATAGCAAAAACAAGATTGAAGCACACAGTTTAACTCTGACTTGGTACCATCCAGGAAAAACATCACCGTGCTCTGGTCATATGCTTTGGTTTTTACCTGGTTCCTTTGGGCTTGTTGCATGGTTATCCTTCATTGGATAGTTGTGACATCCACTGTCAATCTGCATGTACAATTGTCGTCTTTTTTCAGTGTAGTTACATGACATAGAGATGTGACTCTTTCAGGATCAGTTCATGTCACGGCAGGAAATTGCAGGACACACATGCAAAAAGGAACTCAGTATGCTTCCAGTCTCAGCTGGGGAAGGGGCTGCAGCTAGCGGCAATGCACGTTGTCTGCATGCAAGTCAGGACTCGTTTATTTATGGATTTAAAACATGTTTACCCTGTCCAATATGGAAATACATCTCAGGACAGCTCATCCCTTGGGTCTTTCTTGAAAAGGATCAGGTTGAAGGCAATTGATTGTTTGGGACCCTCCTGGCTTTGTGGTTGATTGGATTTGCACATGACAACATGCGGACTGGGTTCACAGTCATGGGAAAAGGAAGGCACATGCAGCTTGACATGGATTGTGAGATGGCTTATTCCCTGTTATGCACCTTGCCAGGTTCAAAGATAGCAAGCCATACACTGCAACGTTAAGTAGGAAAATGAGGTCCTTCATATGCAGGGGAGAGGAAAAGAAACCACGGTGGCTTCTTTTCCCAATTATGTTGTGAACCTGGCTCATGTGGCCTAGACATAGTGGGTTGTCATGTCATCTGAATCCTTGCAAGATGGCTTATTTTTTTGGCAATAAGCTACTCCCAATAAACCATGGCTTGTCTAGGGGTTGTTCAGTCTACAGTGGGCTGCTGTGTCATTCAAGCAAAGGGGAGTATTTGTATTCTGAGTTGAAGGAATCGGGTGCATTGGGTGCCACTGAAGGTATCATCCACCCAGAGAGTCCTCCTGGACTATTAATGCATTATAAATCCAATTATAAAGAAAATGTAGAAAATATAAGCATGCCTTACCTCATGTTCTCCTGACTTTGGCCACCTTTGAGGTACCTGGTCTGTTGAATGGTTGTTGTGAACATGGCATGTGCTGTCTGGAGTTGTTTGTGTCCCTGTGATGGTTATGTTCCCAATCCCAAAAGGAATATAAATGCATTGAAACAAATAATATAAATATCAGGGATATCCATGAATTGCCATTAACTCATAGAGTCTCTTCTAAGACGGTAATCCTAAACATGCCCTTGACATTAATCTCACTCTGTAAACGAGTTTAGAACTGAGGCAGAAAGGTGCTTCCACTCTGTATCTGTACAACTGGTGATGGTCTGATTGGGTAACAGTTTAACCAAGTAACCTCTTCAGAGTCATTCATCCATTAAGCGCTCTTACAGCATGTTAGGTGCTCAATTCATCTATTGAGTGGAACTGGCGTGTTTATTCCTGGTGAGTCCTCCCAACTGCCATTATTCCTGCCTGAACCTATAAAATCCACAGACACTAAAAGCAATAGCATGGCGGCATGGCACAGGTGTTCTCGGCATGTACCAGAGCTGCAACAAAGAAAAGTGAACAGTTCACGATCTGGAAAAGACTGAACCATGCACATTTCCTAGGGGAAAATGTGCACAGAAAAGATTGTGTGTGTGTGTGTGTGTGTGTGTGTGTGTGTGTGTGAGAGAGAGCGAGCGAGCGAGCGAGCGAGCGAGCGAGCGAGCGCAAGTCGGTGCTTGAATTTTAAGCCACAAGCTCTAGCACAGCCTTCTGCTGACTGATGCCCTCCAGATCTCCAGATGAGGCACCTACATCAGGCATCCTTCCAGGCCAGCCTGGCCATCTGGAGGGCAGCAAGCAAGAGAAGGTTGCTCGAGCAACTGTGATGTTTGCTTGTGCCTTGCCCTGTCTCTTCAGTCTCCCTTGCCCTCTTTTTTCATAGACTTGGTACAGCTTCACCATCATCAGCATCCTGGTGACAGCTGTAATACAAGGTTTTCATAACCACTTAGAAGAAGTAAGTACTTCTCATTTTTAAAGTGTGTAGGTGTGTGCTTATGAAGGGACTATGGTCAAGATATTGAGCTGGATCCAGATTTAGTCATATTTTGAGTAGACCCATTGAAATCAATGAGAGTTGAGTGAGTCATTATTGACTTGAATTTAATTGATTTCAGTGGGAATGCTCCAAGTATGACTATGTTTAGATCCAGCCCATTATGTACAACTTGTTATGTACATTGCTCACCTATGCACTGAGGACAACAAAGCTCCTCTTGTTTGTTGTCTGACTGTGAAAGTGACAGCAATGCCAGCAAATTGTTTATATATTAAAAAGACGTTTTATGGTCAGTGCAAACTAACAATATAAAGTGAGCCCATCTTCACTTGGGACCAGCTGCCACAGTCATCATCCACAGAGAACTGATACGTTTAGCTGTTGGTAATGGTTAGTAACATAAAACATTATACCAGGAAACATTACTCAATAACAGCACATTTATCAAAAAGGGAAAACATAATCAGCAGGAAACATTCTTTTTGTATGTGGTTATCTTGACCTTGATTTTGTTTTAGGACATCTTGTGTCAAAGCATTTGCCTCCAGCCTTATCTTTACAAATTCTGATCTTCTTGGTAGAGGTTTATGCTGTATTTGCAGTCCCCTTGTGTCTCTCTGATAGAGCCCTAAGTAATTGACCCTTGTTTTTTTGTCATCAGGAACAATGTATATATCTCAGTGGTATTGTCTAGGGCTGATGGGAGTTGTAGGTCAAACTATCTTGAGAGACTCAAGTTTCCCACAGATTGCAATTCTTTTTCTTTGGCAATTCCCATCACAGTAATGTTGCCACCATCTCTGATTATGCCAGCTTGGCTTATTATTTACCATCTTTCATTGTCTTAGTCTTATCCAAGGAAAGGCGATCATAGCCTTTCAAGAACTAGGGGAATATATGTATTCCATCTATTTAAATTAGAATTGGGAAAGGGGAGCTTTGAAAAGCCAACCTGTTTTCTGAATTTTCCTCCTTTGTAAAGTTGGTTGGTTGGTTGGTTGAACTTGTATGCCACCCATTAACCATAGGCTTTCTAAGTGGCTCACAACATGATTAGAATAATGCAATATAACATAAAATTGCTTATGCATTGAAGTCATTGAACACTGCATAAATGAGCAATGAAAGATCAAGGGACGTATTTTAATGTCACCTACAGAACATCACTCACAAGACAAAAAGAGAAGCCAGGATGGATTGCAGCAAAGGCTTTGTAACCCAACATGCTGTTCACACTGTAGCCAGGTCAGCTGCTCACAAGAAACCTGCAAGCAGGCCATAAGGCAATAGCAGCCACCCATTCTAGTGATTCCAGCAACGGGCAATGACTAGCAGACTAGCAGAGGCATGACTAGCAGACTCCATGTCTACGAAACATGTCCTGAATACTCATCATGCTAATCATCAACACTAATTCGAAGTTTAAAGAAAAGTTCTGTCTTTTCCTCCCAAGAGTCTAAATCAATGTACATTTACTGCCTATCCTATCAGTAATAGTAACTGTCTGTCTATTCCTCTGTTTTCTTCTAACTACTACTCTGAGCTAGTAAAGGCTGAGACTCAGGTCAGTTCACCTTATTACTCAACAGGCTCAATTCACTATTACTCAATGAGTGCTTATTACTATTGCTCATACAACAGCCTAAAAACACAAAGTTTGAAAGACGAAGCATGCCAACATAACAGTCAGGCTAGATATAACAATGGAAAAATAATTGTTTTACAAACTATTAGCAAGTGATCGTACTGTATAACTGACAAAATCAATTAAAAAAGCACAATGGCTTCTGTTACGATCAGTCAAGACTGACAGCCTGTAACTGGCCCAATTAACTTCTGGGCTGAGGGGCTTCTGGAACCTGGCTCTTCCCAGTCACAGTGCAACATAGCAGTCCCCCAGTGGGCTCGACAGGCAAGAGAACTCTGAGAGCGTGGCAAGCCCCCAACCCCCACCCCCCACACACATTTAAGCTAAGGTGATCGACACTGTCCTCAATGTTGATATGACTCCAAACCCCATATGACGGGGACGGAGCATAAAGTGTCCCAGAATATTTATACCACTGGACTTGGCTCTTGGGCTTTAAGATGATAGAGAGGGGCCCAGCTCTCTCAAGTTACGTTCTTCCCAGATGGATTCTTCAGATTCAAAGGAGGGGGCAGAGGGACAGAGGAGGGCAGATGACTTGGCATTTTCAATGCTCCCCAGTGAAGATACTCAGAGGGGAAAACCTGCTTTTTTTGGAGAAGGAGGGGGACATTTTAGAAGTGAGAGGAGTGGCAGCTGAGGAGGAGTTCCATCACCATGTAAGGAGACTACAGGTGAAATGGGAAGGCCATTGAGCAGTGAAGGCCACCCTGAGGGTGGAGTCAGAATCCTTCGGAAAGGGAGGGAAGGGGGGATGTTTCAGTGTGGACCAAACCTGTCCTGGGCAGCTTCCCCCCACCCCCATGCAAACACCTTTGCCTCTCCAGCAGATGTAGA